GTGTCGTGGCATGCATGTCTAAATTTTTACTATCATTTTGACAACAAAAGTGACAAACTTTTGGTGTGAGCCATTTTCACATACGGCATCCGATCGAAATGATTCAAGCTCCCACACATAACTTAACTCATAAGCTAATTAATGAGACAGGTTTGGATATGATCTAATGGTCCGATCAAAATTTAGATACTTGGGCGCAAAAAGTCACTTTTAAAAAAAATTTTGCACACCCAAACGCTAAAATCAATCCCTTTTCTCTTATTAGACCACACTAGGCCTTGAATCAATTCCAAAAGGATCTAATATACTTGATTAACAATAATACATCTCAATCATACTCATACATTAAAATTTGACCCTTCTACGGTCAATTTCCACAATTCACTAATTTTACACACTTTATCATTTCTTGGCATAATTTAGCACACTTAGCTATTTCTCATCACACTTAAACTTATTCATATTCACCATAAAATCTTAGGTCTCAAATAACTCATTTCATTATAATTTGTTCATTGGCTAAGAATTCACCAATACAAACAGCCAATTTAATATAATATACTCAAATCATAGGCCCTTGATTCATTTCAACACATACACACAATCGAGCTAGACTTCACAAAATCTCAATTTAATTCATGCATGCAACCCTATGGCAACTCACTTACACATACACACACACACACAAAATCTCAGTTTAGTTTATTACACAAACTCAAAGTACACGGTTTCACACTCAAGTCGGCCCAGACTCTTTTCCCTTGCTCTGATCACTTTCCAGTCCTGTAAACATATAACCATAGGGGTGAGATAAAAATTTCAGTAATAGAATAACTTACTTCTATTGACTATCACATGCAATAATATGGAACTAAACATAGTATATCATTAAAATCTCATAAAATAGCATTTACATCACATATCTCATTTCCTTTCTCAACTTTTTCTCAATCACAAAGGATTCAATGTTATCTCAACATATTTCATCATATCACATAACATGCTAGCATGACCTCTACTAACCAAACCTCCAAATTATCCCGACATGAAACCATAGGCTCATCTTAAACCAATGTACACTCTCATTAATCTTGAACTCACCTGTAATGGTAGAATTACATAGTCAAAGATGTTTTAACAATGGACTATATTTTCCCCCAATATACACGATGGGGTGTTGCTGACTCCAACACTATATCACAAAAATACTAAGGAGTCTCTCATCTCCAATACCGTACCTTATTAGGCATTAAGGAGATCTTTTCCAACACCACACCTTTCAAGACACTAAAGAGAATTGTTTCTAACACCGCAACCTAATGGGTACTAAGCATTGAAATATTCAAGACTTGGAGACTTAATTGACTTTCTCAAGCTAGATAGTGGACCTAATATATTGCAATTCTCACAACAGAGGCATTATTCACTCTCTTATTATATAAAATTATTATTATTATCATTATTATATATTTGTGTTTCCTTCTTCAAGATGAATTTCCACTGACCTCCATACTAAACTTTATAATGTCAGAGTAGAAAGGATATAAACCTTAGTGGTGAATCATAAAGTTATCAAATAAATACTATATTAAAAATTAAACATGTTTCTTTATGTAAATTTAAGAAAAAATTATCGCATCCATGACTTGTGAATAAATGTGATTTATTATCATCAACCAAATTTAATGTCAGTGTGATGCACAGGAATATTTTAGTATATAAAATATAAAAATAAAAGATTTTAAATTTTAAAATAATTTTAAAGTACTTATAATTTAAAGTAAAATCTTTTATCCTCTTTTTATTTTATCTTAATTGTATATACTTCTTTTTCTATATTTAAAATTTATATAAACCTCTCTTAAAATTAATAAATACAAATACAAGCATTTCTTATATTTTTAAGTTTTCATCCACCCAATTGACAGTTAAGTCACATATAGTGAATTAAAATAACTTTTTTAAATATAAATGTTATCTAAAAATTATTCATGTTACCCCCAAACATTTAAGTGATATATGCTTTTAAAATTTTATTTATTTTTAAATTTAATAATTATAAAAATTATTTTTTTATTATTTTAAAAAAATTTAAATATATAAATTGCTAAATAATATTTCAAATATGTATGTAAAAAAATTAATAGAATACAAATTTTTTGGTTAATTAAAAAAATATGAATTTAATATAATAATAGTTAGACTAGTCAACATAATTTATGCTTATTTTCATTTATAATTTATAATTTAAGTAAAATAATTTTAAATTATTTTTAAAAAAATTAAATTTGTATTTTATTTTAAAATTTATTATCTTATATAGATAAAATCAATATTTTTAGAATCAGGTCGGATACTTAACCAAAAAGGTCAGAAATTCATGATTCACATGGTTCAACTGGGTTGGAGTAATAGTCAAACTAATGACGTAATAATTAAATTAAAAAAATTATATATGTATATAATAATTTAAATATAAGAAATAAATATAAAATTACTACTTAACTAAAAAATAAAATTAAATATTTAAGTTTATCATGACTTAATAAACCACATGATATAATATAACATCAAATAATTAAAAAAATTAGTAATTTCCTAAAAAAATTATTAAAAAATAAAAAATAAATTTTGACAGTCCAATTTTTGAAAACTAAATCCAATTTCCTGCTTGATTTTGATTTTTGATCTGATTGCCTATTCAAAATGATCCAATTCGACTCAACCCTAAAATGATTTTCACATACTAATCAAACCTAAATTTGGACTAGTCTGACCGTCCAGTCTGGTCCCATTTTTTAATCACTGGATAAAATTTAAAAGTAATAAATTATTTTATTTATAATTTGTATTTTAAGTAAATTAAATTTTAAAATAAAACTCATCAAGCTATCTATGTACCTTTAGTACTTTGTTTAAATAATTTTTTTAGTTTTATTTTGTATTTCTATATATTATTTTTACCAAGAATCTCACATCCTCACCAATTTTTACTATGTTCCTACGTGATTTTTTAAAATATAAAAATTTTTTTATACCTTATCTAAATTTTTAAATTTTACAAATGAAAAAATATATAGCAAAAACAAAATTCCCCATATGAAAATAAATTTTATTAGTTAAATTATGAGTTTCACATTCATCCCACATTTTTTCTAATAGTATGTCTCGTGACAAATTCTTAGGTAAATCAAGTCACATTATTTTTTATCTGTTCAGTAAAAATATGGCATTCATGTTGTATTAAATATAAATTAATTTTGTTATAAATGATAATAAAGAGAAAAAATACAATAAATTAATTATGCATTCTATTATCAAAATAAAATTAATTAAAATAATATCATATAAGATTTTATTTAGATGACTTAGAGCATTTTAATTATATAGATTTCAAATGATGTGATGTACCTAATCTACTTAAAAATTCTTATGTCCCACACACTTTTCTTTACCATGGGTTTCACTTTCACTCACTTTTTTTCTCTCAATTTAATGAACAATATCTATTTTGCCCTCTCCTCTATTTTATCTTAATTTCAAATATTTCTATTCTATTTTTAAAAAATCAGCTAAATTATTTATTTTGTCCTTTAACTATGCACAAGTTTTCATTTTATTCCTTTTTTATCAAGTAAAATCTTAAAATTCATTAACTTTATTTAAAATTTTAATAATATTTTAACTTTGCTCTTATTAAATACGCACATTTTAACTTTACTTTAACTTTACATTTTAACATTCAATGAAGGTTAAAAGAAAAAATTTATGATAAAATTTAATAATGTGATTTATAAATAGAATCAAAAAATATTCTCTTTCTACCCTAAAAATAGAACCAAAGAGAGTAAGTGTTATTTAAAAATCATTCAATTTACCCTCAAAATACTATACATATAAGAGGGAGTATGTGTCATTTATATATATTTTTAACTATGTAAATAAATTTTATGAATTAAATTATGTGTCCTGCATTGATCTCGCTTTTTTTAAATGATAGGTTTCACACCTATTCTTTTTATTATGGATCCTATATTTATATTTTTGACAAAATATCTATAAATTATTTTTTAAATCAAAATCACACAAAAATTTAAAAATAGCAAAGCACTATTCAAATTACTGTATATTTACAATGTTTGATGTGCTTTACTATATACAGTATTATTTAAAAATCGTTCAAGTTGTCTTCAAAATATTATTCATATAAAATGAGGTGGATATCTTTTATCCTGTGTAAATAAATTTTATAAATTAAATTACTGGTCCCACATTGATCTTGCTTTTTTTAAATGGTAGGTCTCACACTCACTTTTTCAATTGATCCTATATAATTTTGACAAAATATCTATTAATCAATTTTTAAATCAAATCTAAACAAAAATTTAAAAATAGCAAAACATTATTCAAAACACTGTAGATCTATAATGTTTTGATGTGCTTTACTATATATATTGATGATGATTTATATTAGTGACTAATGTGTGAGAAAATATATATTATAAAACATGTTCTGCGTTTGAATACCTTAAATTCAAGAATGAAAACAAATATAACTAGGATTGTTGACATCTTTTAGTAATTCTTTATGAAAATAATTTTTTTAATCTTTTTGCTTGGAGTTTGGTATGCAGAATGATGTTTGAATTAAGACAAATTAAAATTTTAAGGATATTAGAATTATTTGAAATACAATTCAACCTTGCTTACTTGAGCCCAGGAACCAGGTAACTAACCTGACTTAATATGAATTTGTCAAAGTCCAATCTAATCCTAGATGTTAAATGGCTTATTTTGCTTTAAAAAAAAAAAAAAAAAACTCTCATGGACTACTACTTGGTTTTGACTAACAAGTCAAAAATAACGTTCTACTCACTTTGAACGATAAAAAGGCAAAAACCTAAAAAAACAACAAATAAAAAAAGAGCACGTCATTACAAGCCGGAATCACTAAAAATGTAAACAAAAGCGGCAAAATCTCTCTAACTACCGAATGAAAAACAGGGACATGTTCAAAACCGACCGTATCTTCCCCAAAACAAGCCCGACATTTCCTCACATCTTCCCCTCCTAGCCACGAAAACGTACAAGCCCTGTCTCTGTCGATCTCTCTCAATTCAATTCCACATTTCTCAAGGTTACTTCCCTTTGAACATATAATCTCTTCCTTTCCAAAATGTCAAGGTTCTAAAGAAATTCGGAACCATTAAACAGAACAGCGGTAAGAGTTGTAGCTCTCTTATCATCGTGAAAAGCTTTGGGAATGATTTGATTCAACTAAGCATTTTGCGGGAGGAGGTGATTTCCATCAAGACCGTCTTTCAGAAAGCTTGATCTTTTGATCGTTCACTTGTTCTATGGATTCTGATTTCTGGACCTCGCGTCTCGCCGCCGCCAAACGCCAGTATGCGTTTCAGCAGCAGCAAAGTTCCCAATTAGGTTCGGTTTGAGCTTTTTCTCATTTCTTCTCCCTATTCTGGGTATGGTAAAAATCTGACTTTTAACTTTGTGGGGAGTCAGATCGGTTGGGAATCTATGATTTCGTCGTGGAAGATGATGTTCGGCCTGATTATTCAAGCTCTTATGAAGACGTTGACATCGCGTCCTTGTGTTCGAATCTCGAAGACGAGCACTCGTGTGAATCTAGAGCCACGGTATGATTCAATGCTACTTTTCCTCCTGTTTCGATATTATTTTCTTGGTCGCTAGCCTAGATCTATGAGTCTTTCTAATGTCTATTTGCTTAGAATTCACTAGAATGGTATATTGGTTGTATGCAATCCATCATCATTGTAAAATCTATATAGAGAATGGTTTATTCCCATTGTGGGATGCCCAACTTGGAGAACTCAGGATGGGAATAAAGCTGTGAGTTGAACCATTTTGATGGATATTCAAACATTTTTGCCTTACTCAGTTTCGGGTAAACAAAGAACTCTTTTCCACGTTACATGAACGATAAAACCCAAGTCAATGAATATAAGATATATATGAGATGCTCTGCTCTGCTCTTCCTTCTCAAGTGACCGTTGTATTGTGTGTTGAAATCATTGTCATTCTCTTTTGCTTTTCCTCCTATTGTCTTTTGCAGATGCTCTACAATAATGAATGGCCAGAATGGGCGTGCGTGTGTGTTATGGCAAACGTGCACTTTTAATCCCTGAAATTTCACTCAAGTTATGTTATAATCCTCGGAGCTCGTTTTGGTTCAATCTAGTCCTCAAAGTAACAAAGTTTCTAAAAGTGTTAATTGTTGTACTTCAAAAAGACTTGAATAAGGATTAAGGCACAAACAAAAGTGATGCAGAGGTTGGTTTTTGGGTGCTAGACTAATAAGAAGAGACATGATGGTATAGCTTAGGGTTGACTTGGATATGAGTCTCTGCAATGTTGTCTTTTTTCAGCCTGTAAAGCCATATCTAATACCATTTTGACATTTAAAAAAGTTAATGAATGTTTAGGAAAAGGACAATATCAAACCCTTTGAAGCTTTGAAATTGAAGACTACTTGGAGATTTGGGATCTTAATGTACATATAATCCATTTGTAGGCTTTTGTCCCATAGGCAATGAGGTATCAGTATGGCTCTAAGAATTTTTGGCCAATTTCTTTCAATCTCCCTCCCTCTATTTTTTTAATTTGGAAATAAAAAATTGTCTCTTTATGGAACTTCATGTGGTGGTAATATCTTGTAAGCTTAAAAGCAAAACAACAACAACCACCACCCTTATTCCATTAGGTTGGGCCAGCTACATAAATTGCAACATGTCATTTTAACCTTAAAAGTATGTCATGAAGAAATCCAACAGTTATAAAATATATGTGACAATAGCTAGAGGAGAAAAACAAGGCTTGAGAATTATGTGAATTTGAGGATAAAGAATTTTAGCTATCACAAATTTCAGATGTGGCTTGTGTTGTAAGCTCCAAATTTATATTGGCTCATGATTGACATGCTTAAAATTGCGATCTTTTATTTCTAAAACTACTAGTAGTTGACTAGTTGTTAACTTCTATAGCAAATGTGGTGGTGGTGGTTGCTTTTGAGATGGACAAGTTTCTCATTTTTGGTTGGTTTGAAGAATGTTTCCGCTTGAATGATCTAAGGGAAAACCAAAGGATCTAAGATCATGCATAGCAGCTCACTTCTTTGTGGTTGCTACTTGTAACACATATCTGTATCTAATTCAACTGATCTTTAATTTTAGTTATAAGGTCTCATCCTTCTATTTTCTCCCATGCAGGTTTGTCCAATATGCTCAGTTAAAGTTGCGAGAGACATGTTAAGTCACATAACACTGCAGCATGGACACTTGTTTAAGATATCCTTTATATGTAATTTCCATTTGAAATTGCCAGCCACAGAGATATTTGAAATTGCTAGCTTCTTCAAATCATGGATTGTTATTGTCGGACACTAGATTAACTCAAAAGCTGTAGTTTCTGGCAACAGTCTATAAACGGCTTTAATGTACCTTTTAGCACAAAAATTCTTGACTTTAGACCACTCGGCCATAAGGCTTTGATATGATGTCAAATGACAGTTTAACTCAAACTTTTAATTGATAACCAACCAATAGACAGTTTTAATATAATATCTAACAGTTTAATTGCTTCCCTTAACCGAGGAATACTTACAGAGACGACGCAGGCTACGTAGAGTTGCTGTTCCAAGCAGCCAGGCATTATCTGTTTTGGGTCGGGATCTTCGTGAAGCTCATTTACAGGTCCTTCTAGGCAGTGGCGGCGGCGGCAGCGGCAGTAGTGGAGGATATCGATCAAACAGTGTTAATACATCCAGTGCTGCAGCTACTGATCCATTTCTATCCTCACTTATTTTTAATGTTCCCGCTTCTGAAGCAGAAGATATTTCAAAATCCGTGTTAACCGGTGCTGAAGACTCTTCTCCAAAGAACCCAGCACCATCACATATATGGAAATCAAGGTACTTTTAACTTGTAATCATAGTTATTGTTAAGCCATGGTTATGCTTAGCTAAACATAGTGAATTCAAGGCCAAATTGAATATGCTGTATGAGGTCAGGCAATTAACCTAACTAGCGTAGGATCGTTTATTCAAATGAGAAAGAGTTGCACGATGAGTGTGACTGCGTTTGGAGCTCACTTTTCTCTTCTTTAGTTTTTCAGATCTTAATATGACTAATCACTGGTTGTGTCATATTCTGTAACTGTGATGCAGCTTTGATGGCTCATTGACTAATGAAGAGAGAGAGAGAAGGATGAGGCAGGCTGCAGGGAGATCTGGGTTTGTGCAGGATTTGTTTCTGTCAACTTTGTTGGGCGACTAATGAGGAAGCTGCAAATTGCCTACACAAATGAAAAGTGAATCCCATCATTCTGAAGGATCTTGTTCAACCATATCGCTGCACTTGAGGCTCAAGATCTTCCTTATAATTAAATTGTCCACATACACCTTTATTGGACAGACAAACACCAATGTATTATTTCTTTCATTGTTGAAGAGAGAAAAAAGTAAACTAGTTTTTTAGCTGTTAATCGGTGCTCCTTGTAATCTATGAATCTGCTTGCCATGTACAATGGGTAACTCATGATTAATTCTATTTTTACTATAATCGAACTTAGAAATGTGTAATTTTTTTTAATTTGTCATTTAATTTATGCTACAATTAATAAAATAAATCGATAGGAATCTCACCAAATTTTGAGCAATTTTTTTTACAAATGAAAAAAAATATCTGATTGCATGATAAAAGATTTTTTTTTGTAATAAGTTATACTTTTTTTGTTAAAAATATAAAGTACTTTTAATTGAATTTTACTTCTTAATAAAATAATTATTTATTTTCAAACTAATCATATCATTCTATATTTAACCCTATTTAATAGGGTATTTAATCTTAAAATAAATATAAAATAATTTATTTAATATTACACTTTTGAAAAAAAAATATTACACTTTAAAAAAAATTAAAAATACTTTATAATTTTTAACATCTAACTCTTAAAAAAATACCTTATATATTTTAACTAAGTTAATACTTTTTATAAGTAGTTAATGCTTAATAACGTAATTTATTTTTCAGATTATGCAAGTAACATGGGTTTCTATATGTATGTTTGAGAGATGATTCATTATAGCGTGACTAATTAATATTTGAATTTCAATTGAGAAAAACGCTTATATTTAAGTGCCTTGGAATTGATTTCATCAAGTGTATAGTAAAAAAAAAAAAAATTGAGAAGCTGCTGGGGAATGTCAGTTAGTTGTTGACATGACCAGATAAAATAATGGCTTGATTTTTGGGGCAGTATTCACAACGAATTGAACCTGCGATCTTATTGCAATTATATATTTTAAATCACGTATTATTATATAGTTTAATCTTGACTTAACATCTAAATTAAATTTTACATGATACTGTGTCACGGGTCCCACTTTAAAAATCCCACAAATAGTATGAAATTTAGAAGTATAAAAGACACACTCTCTCAATAAGTCATTCGCATTACATAATGATCTATTGATCAAACATAAAAATTAGTGATTAGCAATACCAAATGATCCCCAATGGACATATTTCACAGAATATTGATTCACGTGGTCGTCAACTCGATCTCACCGACCAGCCTCACTCACTGATCAACCAATTAGGACCTATGAATGGCAGGTGAGCTCAAAACGACGACGTATTCTTCTATAATCCTTAACCGCCCTTGTTAATCTCGTTTTTTATTACCTCTTTATCCCGATACCAACCCTTCTCTAATCTATTTCTTCCATCCCTTTTTTGGCCTCCCATTTTCTCTCTCCTCTGTTCACTCCTGCTTCTGAATCTGGTTCTTCTTCAACTACAAGGGAATGATGATATGGTTAATCCTGCTGAGCTGTACTGGGCTTGTCCTCCTCCTTCACGGAGCTAGTTTTTTATTCCACCTTCTCTCCCCACACCTCACCCTTCGTTCTCTCAGGTCCTCTTCCATCTCCATCACTTCATTCACATTCTCTGTTTTTAATTCTTCCCTTTCGCTTCTACTAATTACTTTTCAGCAAAATATGTATCAGCTTCTGCCGAAATTTGTTTTCAAATGCAAAAAAAGGTCAACCATTTCGTGCCGGTGGGTTCTAACTGTACGTTTATTTCTTACGTTTCATTACAGTTTCCTAGGATTTGCTGGGTGGTAAAGTGAAGACGACAAGATGAATAATCCGCAGAGACATGCTCGAATGTTCTCCCCAGATTCTTTAAATTACTCAGATTCTGATGCAGCTAGCTTGTAGTTGCTGACGCTGATGATTTGTAAGGATTTAAGATTTAATTGTACGTAGCATTTATAATAAAAGTTGAGAAAGCTCTCTCTCCGTCTTATTTAGTTATATTGTCACGCGAGCTTCAATATATGTATATAGATATAGATGCTTTTAGCATTGGCTCTTCTAGGAAGTACGAAGCATAGATCACGATACAGGTGATATGATCTACTCTGTTAAATTTCGTAATTAGAAGCTTTCTATGATCTGCCCTGCTAGATTTTGGTAGCTGCAAGCTTTCTGCTACGACACAATTTTCCAGATCAAGAATGTGACGAAGAATGATTGGAGGACGACGAAAATGTTGAATCTGCAGGATAATGGTTGTGCCAATCGTGGGAGAGATAAAAACAAATTTATTGCTTGACATGAACATGTAGGGATGATAATTAAGTTGACGAAGGTCATGTGGCTGGAGAAAGTTAATTAATTACATAAGCAGATATCCACTTTTCACATGTATTTTTAGTTACATGGCTTTCATTCTTATACTACACTGGGTAGTTTCAATCACGAAAGCATGTGACACAATGTTCTCGTTATATCTCCAGCAATTCACCTTATCCAGAAACCACTTTAAGTTTTCTTAATTATTTGAAACTTATAAGCTATATAAGCTCAACCTTCTTGAATAATCTCTTCCTCTGGTAACGTCCCCGTAAAGGCTCCACTATCTCCATGGAAGCCTCACTGGGTCCAATCTGACGAACCTGTAGCAGTCACGCACGACGACATTTTGGTGCTTGGGCTGAAACAAATTTGAGAGATATGAGAGCATCCGATTACGTGTGCTTCAGAATTGCTTGACTCAGGATACGTCGACTCTTAAAATTAGGCGACGGATTGCAGTCTAGAAATCTCCGAAATATCTTACGTCATGTCATTATATTATTTCTCTAACATATTTGTGGCCTACAAAAAAAAAAAATCAGTATTTTAATTTTATTTTATTCTGAGCATTGATGTTGGATTTTAGGTCGCAATCACCACGCCGCTTATCTTCATCTTGATCGTTACACATACCTAATTAACTCTATTATATCCATGACCAGTTGACCAAGTCTTTAAGATAACGGCACACCTCTACTCGAAGAATTATGGGCTAAAACCTCCTTAATTTTATGAAGTTGAATTTGATAACGGTGCTCAAGCATTAAATGCACGTATCATTTAAATTATCAAAATTTTAATTAATAATTTTAATTTCGCACTTTATTTAATGAAAAAACAAAATTATTTAAACGGTTAGATATAAATTATAACAACTTAGATAACATAAGCACTTTACAGAATCCAGATTTTTAATTTTGTTGTACTATAAAATGAAGGGACCATTCTTTTATGTTTCCCCCCTAAATAAAGCATAAAGATCAGGATTTTCTTCAATAAAACATCAATGAAATATATACACATTCAAAGTTATGGGAATGAACAAATACTTTCGCAAGAGAACTAATTTAAGAATAAAATAGCAATTAAGAAAGTAATACGAACTTATTATACTTCAAGAACACATTCACCAGAGTAAATTTGCAGGCACACTAATCTCAGCATATTCGATCCATCCCATCCCAAAAGTTATAATTACCAGAAAGCAGAATTCCCTACCTTACGGACATTGACCCATTTATACTTAGAGTAGACATACTATCTCACTGCCGAAGACGGACCTAGAAAACACGACAATGCATTCATACTTTCTAACCAGAAATCTGGATGGTTTTCACGTCAGGCTTCTTAACCTTTTCCTTAGGAACAGTGACAGTAAGAACCCCATTCTCCATGGAAGCCTTCACCTGATCCATTTTAGCATTTTCCGGCAGCCTGAATCTCCTCGTGAATTTGCCGCTGCTGCGCTCAACGCGATGCCATCTATCGTTCTTGTCTTCTTTCTCGACGTTCCTCTCTCCACTTATCTGAAGCACCCTATCCTCTTCAATCTCGACCTTCACCTCCTCCTTCTTCAGCCCAGGAAGATCTGCCTTGAAAACAGGAGCCTCTGGGGTCTCCTTTCAATCCACCCGAGTGCTGACAAATGCAGAATTTTGGGGAGACGAAGTTGAGAGAGTAGAGGGAAAAGGAAAATCCTTAAAAGGATCCCAAACGTCGAGAGAGAAGGGATCGAAGATGTTGCTCCGTCGACCACCGAAGAAACTCGGGATCAACGACATCTCTTATCAACGGAAACTACGAAAAGGGGATATCGGAAGTGAACTGATGAAGTGCGTTTTGCAGACAACTTTTGCTTGCTTTCTCCTCAATGTAAGATGGAGAGGGGACCTGGCGGGTATATAAAGTAATGGGAGGATAATCTAGTACTTTCCAGTGAAGTTTTGAGAATATTAGAGTGTTTGCGGATTTTAAATGCCACCGCCCACGGACCTTGAAGGAACTGTTCAGAATCCAGATAGTTTCTTGGGCTCTCCAAGCCCAATTAATTCTTTTTTTTTATTTTTAATAATAATAAAGAATGATGAGCGCGTTTTTAACAGAAATCAAATCACAATTAAATTCCATCCTCTCAGATTTATGTTTTTGGTGATTATAGGAGCTTGCATAACTCAATGTCAAGTTTCAACCTAATACCTTTTATATTTACAATTAAATAAATTAGTTAATAATCAAGGTATTAAGATTATATATTGCTTCCATCATAAATTACAAAACAATTTGACTTGGTATAAAATTACTCATATCAATAAAATTTAACGATTACAGTTTACATATTTATTTTTTTAAATGAAAATACAAATTTTTAAAAACATTATTAATTAAATATAGCTTTAAATTCATAATCATTTTAATTCTCTTTTTATTTAAAGGGTAATCGTCAAAAACATTATTAGTAAAACCTTAGAAGTTTTAAATTTTCTTATATCTTGGAACATGAACTACCTCTAATATTATTTATAATACTATACAGTGCATGGGATGTTATTTTTGAAACTTTTTTTAATAGTTAGATGGTGAAAATATTTACATATGAAGTAGTTATATGCCTAAAACAATAAGACATAACTATTACGAAAATGAATAATATTTAAGGATGATGGGAGGAAAAAAAATTGTGGTAACAATGTTATGGATTAATTTTAAACGCCTATTTGATGATAGATAATTTGTTAACACCTATTGTGAATGAATGCAATCGTTTGTTGCACTAAATAAAGATTCAACAAATAAAAAAAGTACAACATATCAATGAATAAATGATTGTTATACATCAATTAGATTTTTAAAAACCTCCTTGTAGACTACTACATTCAAGGTAACATGGGCTTACCACCTGTATCAAGAATTAATATATTTAACCCTTTTCTATTCTGCACTTTG